TTGTATCTTTTATGATTGTAAGCCTCCCAGAGTTACCTTGAGGTAAGATGGGAGGCCAATAAATTTGACACATCAATAAATACCATTACACCTGTCTTCTCCCAACACAACTCCCATTACACCTGTCTTCTCCCAACTTCCTTTCCCACTTTCTCCCACTGCCGCTCAGGATTCACTGGATCAGGTTTTGCTGCAATGCCGCTACTTATGTGGGGTGAGATCTGCACTGTGCCTGTCCACTACCCTAGAGGGTCCCCAGGGTAGGAGAAGATGAGAGGAAGCTTGTTTCCAGCGCACCATATATATATTTTGCCAATACAAGCAAACCTGCCCATCTTTTCCCAACTTCCGGGTACAGACAGATCAGTTTGTATCAGCAAAAATTCGCAACTTGAAAGTTCATTAATAATGTCTGTATAAGGTAGTCCTCGACTTAAGGCGACCATTAGCACTCGAATTTCTATTGCTAAGCAAGGTGGTTAAGTGAGTTGTGCCCGATTTCATGACCTGTTTTGTCACAGTTATTAAGCAAATCACTGTCATCGTTAAGTGAGTCATGCAATCTTTAAGCAAATCTGGCTTGCCTCGTTGACTTTACTTGTAGGAAGCTGGTTGGGAAGACTGGAAAAATCACGTGACTCCAGAAGGCTGCAACCAACATAAGCGCATGCAGGTTGCCAAGTGCCTGGGTTTTGATCACATGACCATGGGATGCTTCAACAAGGGTGAGGGTGAGGACCAGCTGTTAGTAACTTTTTTCAATGCTGTGGGAGCTTTCGAAAGCCAGCAAACAAATGGTTGTAAGGCAATGACTACCTGTATATCCATATATCCATCCATCCGTCTATTGTTCATCTCCTTATCTGAAAGAATACTTACCAATATATAATGATCATTAAGAAGAAGCCAAGATGCCAAAAGACCAAATTTAAGAGAAAGATTTTCCTGCATAGCAAATGTATGAAGCTGAGTGGCACTTCTACCACTGGCATCCTAAAAACAGGACCAAAACAAGGATTACTAAACTTTTCAGTATTATGTTCCATTTTTATTTTTTTTTAGCCCCTCCCCCAGCTCCCCACCCAAAGGGAAGATTTCTGTTAAATCAATCTGCCCTGTTGCACAAATCAGGTTTCCAGTCCTCATCTTCCTATAGATCTGCTGTTAATCAAACCATTAACCCACTGAGCTCCAATTCTACAGTGCCTTCTCTTATTCCCATAAGCTCATACAGTCCCTGATGTTCCTATGACACACCTGCCAATCCTTTCAGCACCTCCCTCTCTTCCAATAACCTGCCTACCTTACTTCCTTTGAAAGCGACTGGATTGTCTATACTACATTTTTTCTAAAATTCCCTACTATCCTAGTAACACCACTCCCAAATTTCTACATGCCTCCATTACATTTGGGCACTTCTGTTCTATGATGCAATATGGTATAATAGGAAAGCAACTAATAACTATGAACAAAATGTCCAGTTTAACAACTATGGTATATTCTAACGGCAGACTTGCATATTTAAGGTTCTTCATTATTTGCTACTTAAATACTTTCTAGCAGTCCTTACTGTACACCATTTAATTTTGGTCATATTGTTGTATGGCTGACCCATTCTTTGTTTCACTGTTTAACTGTGCTGACAAGTAATTGAGACAAAGCCAGACGTTTAGATTTTCTTCCTCATTCTTTTCCAGAACGGCAGGTTCCCCAACTGTTTGGGGTAGTAGAATCATTTGAAAGCACATTGAAGGTATTGTCATAAAATGCCTGCTAAGGTGGGCTTGCCCAGTCAGTAAATATCCATTTACCAGAAGGAGCCGTGGTGGCACTGTGGTTAGAATGCAGTTATTGTTGGCTAACTCTGCCCACTGCCTGGCGTTCGATCCTGACTGGCTCAAGGTTAACTCGGGCATCCATCCTTCCGAGGTCGGTAAAAGGAGGATCCAGATTGCTGGGGGCAATATGCTGACTCTGTAAACGGCTCAGAGTGGCTGTAAAGCACTATGAAGTGCTATATAAGTCTAAGTGCTATTGCTAGTGAGAGGCTACCGTCATCTTCCTACATGAATCTCCTTCTCCTCTCCCCTCCTCCTCCTTCCTCCTCCTTTTGTGCAATAGCCAGACCTCTGAGAAAACTCTGCAATATATTGGGGACGTTTTTATTTTGGAAATGAAGTATTATACTTGAGGTGAGTGCTCTGCAGCATGCTAGATTCCCTTTTAATTTTTCATATTAAAATAATTTTTTAAAAATGAAGTTGGCTATGGAGCCTGATGGGTGTTTAGAGGCACCTGTGGATATATAGGTGTCTACAGATACCATGTTGTTGAAACATACCTATCCTTATGCTATGCGTACTGCTCCTGCTTAGAGAGGCTGGGAGGCAGTAATATCCCCAAGGTTACCTACTGAATAATCATGGATGAGCAGAGATTCTGCCAAATGCATTTTTCAGTAAATATATGATAGAATGATGAACAGTAGCAGAGAACTCACCTTGACAGTCACAGCTATCTGATGAAATCCTTGACTGTAATTTTGGGGGGACCATTTCAAGACATAGAGAGGTCCAGACACCTGAATAGCATCTCCAAGATAAATGTCATCAATCATGATCTTGACAAACTTGATAGGAGAAGGAGAGAAGGCCAAAATTCTAAGTACAAGAATATAGTGGGACTTATTAATGATATCACAG